ACCTTCACGTGTCCCCCGTTTGACGACGCTCCTGCTGCGCTAGTGGCATCTCTCGATGCTCCTGCCCGTGAAGAGGCGCGCGAGACGGGCTTGGTTGTCGGTGCCTCAGGAAGGTCTGCGAAGTAGTCCGGCAACCCCCCCCCTCCACCCTGCTGCTGAGGTTCAATCTGTGCGACCCTCTTCTGCCACTCCTCGATGCTGTCTGACAGGAGCTTACGCATCCCACCGGACAGGTTCGGTGCTCGCATAGCCGTCTTAAAGCAGGCGATGTGTTCCTGATCGTCAGAGAGATAACAACGGTTGGGGAGAACAGGAACTCCTGGGTGTTAACAGTCAATACAAACAGCTGTCGAACGAAAAAAAAATAACAACGGCAACATCCACAGAGATATGATGCGTCTGGCACCCAAAATAACAGAAAACAACCTCAAGGGAAAACACGGGCTTTGCACTACCATACTGGGAGACGAAAAGGAAGGGCGTATATGGAAAGAGAGCGCCAAGGACCCGGAGGTGTGGTACAACAAGGTCGAGGACGGGGCGGCATGGTTCATGAGGAAATGGCACAGGCAGGAGGCGGAAGCGTCCGCGAAGCGCCAGCGCGCGAGGGAAGCAGAAGCAGAGTACGACCATCTCAGGACCGAAGAGAGAGTCGGGGAAGCGGCGGTGGGGGGGAAGAAACGGCGACCGGGCACTGCTGTAGAAGCGAGTAGGGCGGCCGAGGCAGCACTATGGCGAACTATGTACCCGGCTGATGTTGTTGCGCCCTGTTTCCCTCCCTGCTGTATGCTATACTCCTTCCTGTATGTATGTCCTTTGTATTGCCTTCGGCGTCTGTGCTGTGTTTCTTTTTTTCATGACCTCCCTGCCTACTCTGCTGTGTTGGGTACCTTGATCTCGCTTTGCTGTTGCCTTTGTTTTTGTACGTCTGGCTGTCTGCCCATCTGCCGCCTCTTTGCCCTGTTTGCTCCGTTACTCCCATGCCCTGGTGCGTGGTGCCTGGTGCTGGTACGTTACCCTTTGATTTTTTCTTTCGGCGGGTGTGGGAAGCGTCCTCCTTTATTTTTTTTGTTATTTTTGTTTTGTTTTATGTTGATCGGTTTCCGAGGGCTCTTTTCTCGAACGGCCGGTGCGATACCTGTTCTTTTCTTTCTATCATTTTGTTTTGTTTTTCCGAGTGGTTTGTACCCTATTTTTGTTCTTTTTTTCCCCGCGGCGTCACATGTGCCGGGTTTTGAGACCACGGGCTCCCCATGTTTTGTGGACTATAGAGTAAATGTGAGAAACAACAACAACAACAACAACAACAACAACAACACCATCGCTCTTCCCTTTACCCGAACACAGCAACAGAGGGGCGGTCAATCCCTGCAAATTATCCTGGGAAGTAGGCCGCGTCTTTGCATAGACATGCCAACCAACAGCGAGCTGAACACCGCGTTCAGACAACATTTACTTGTAGCGCTCCTGTCATTGCTCGTGGAAACAGCAACGATGTACAAGGCTAGAAACGATCGCGACGCAAACAAGCAGCTGTGCACTCGCTCTCAAATAAAACGATAAACCAGCACAACACAGCACCCTTGCACGACCGATGCATAAGACAACGCACGCTACGCTGATCGCGTGAAGCACCAAGCTCGCCATTGATACAGAGTGGACGAAAATGCGTACTGAGTGCGCAAGCACAATCTAGGAAGCCGTTTTCAACTGACACATTACGGTGTGCTTGAAACTGATTATTTGAAGCACCAGGTGCAAACCTTGTACAAAACGGCAGCTTCCTGGGTCTTGCCAGCCTTGTCTAGCGCCCTGGCCCTCTCCAAAGCTGCGAGGCCTCTCTCTTGAGCATCGCTCGCCGCATCACCCATAGCTGCAGGTTGGCCCGCTACTCCTGGCTATCTTGTACCTGTCGATCGCACCGCCAGGGGCATTGAAGTTGCAGCAGGAGAGAAGCCCTCAACCGCTACGACCTGCCGCTTTCACGTGTTAAAGGGGGCGGTGAACTTATTTCTCGTCATTCGAACGGATTTTGACAAACACGGTGGCATTACGGTTGTAGCACCCGCAATCAAGAAACAAACCTTTGAAAGAAGCAAAGGTTCCAACTTGACGGTAAAGAAGAAAAATTGACTGAGTAACACCTCAGGCATGGATCCTACACTACACGCTAGATAATGGCCTACAGTATTGGTATGCTTGACGGTGGTAACGAAAGACGAAATTGAGCCTCGACCCCAAATTGACGTTTCTTAAACGCGGGCGCAAACTGTACTGCAGCAGTAGACACAGTTGCCATATCTGCATGAAGATCGAATTGCAGCCAAACCAAGCTGGTCGAGGCCCGTTTTTTTCATTATCGGCGCTCCCACGCATGTAGGCGAAAAAAACTCTTATGTTTTTGTTTTTCAGGTATTTCCCCGGGGAAAAAAAAACGGAGAATCCTCTCTTTTAGGGGGGAGGTAAATTAATTGCCTTGACTTTTGGACGCACCTCAAGGTGAGTTCGCGTTGTTTGTTGTTTTTTGTTCTTCCCTTTGTACTGTCAAGGCCCATAGGATAGACAGTCTGCTAAAATATGTTGTAATCGGGAGTTGTCACATACAACTGAGCACCGCCGATGTTTAGGATCGAGGTTTGATGCAAAATACAGTGGTGGAAGACCCCCCCAAAAAGGAGAGATCGTGACAAATGAAAATGGGTTGGAGGGGATCGAATCCCGTACTCTCGAAGAAGCACACGCCGCACAGCAGTAAACTCAGCTAGACTGATTCATGATGCAGGGCACTTTTCGGCCTCATAGACATGTAGTCTGAATTCTTGGTGTGCAGAACAATGCTGGAATTCTCGCAATAGCTACACCTCACGAGGCGTATGACGCCAGAGCTGGCGAGATTCTTGCACGCTCCACGTAGCTCGGTACAGCGACCTAGGCCTACCTACTGCACAACCACCTAGCTTGGGGTGTGCGTGTGGGTTAGGATTAGGGTTAGGGTTTAGGGGTGGGTTAGGCCTGGTGCCGTGTAGCCTGAGGGCTGGAAACCCGCTGTGGCTTTGGTTTCGTGTCCACCTCCAACGCGAGTGCAAGAATCTCGCCGGCTTTGGCGTTCTATACGCCTGCTACATAGATATGACGTATGAACGACATTCAAGGCGAGCCTACCTTTCTTCCCCTCGCTGCCTCAGCAAGGTTTTGCGTAGGCATGACCAATAGCGAGAGGGGGGGTCTTTCTAGCGAGCAGGGCTAGACTCACCCTCAGGGGACCGATACCTTCTTGCTGCGGCGCACCCGCCGCGAGGCGTGCGTAGTGGTGGAATTGGGTCGGCACTGGTGCGTCAGGTACAAAGGTGCAGATGCGCGGGCCTCCAGGCCGTCGGTGTAGGCAGCAATGCCCATCTCATCTTTGTGCGCGGAGGCAGACGTCATCAGAAAGGTGGACGGGCACTATGTACACGGCCCTAGGTTTGCTAGAGGGAGCTGTACTGTCTCAGTAACTTNCACCAGAGCAGCGGAACCGGAGCAGGCGGACGGCATCGAACCGTGGCGCACGGACAAACATCTCTTGTATTGTCAATTATTTTTCCGTTTTTTTTCCTGAATACAGGTGTTGGGTGTGTGTGATGACGTCACTGGTTTTGTAGAGAGACGCGGCAGAGATGGCGCGGATAACCCGGGTGCCTTAATTGTGTACCTGCATCGTGGAAGACCCCTTCAATGTGGAACGATTCCTAGTCAGTGTCGATGTTTACACTGCTGTGCCTAACACAGATGATCTGGATAGATTCGGGTGATTGTCAATTGCAATGATGGCTTTGGTTGGGTGTTCTTCTTCATTTTATGTCCACAGACTCATTCTGACAGCACTTCAGACAGCAGCTCCATGCCCCGAGCTTGTGCACCATGCACCATGGTGTTATTATTGTACAGACAGCACCTCAGACAGCAGTACGTTGTAGTCGACATTCATTTTGGTAAAATGCGGGACAAGGGGGGTGATGCTGCTGCTGTAGTCGATTTGTAGTGTGTGGGCGCGTAGTTCAGTTGTGAGCACGCAAACGTGCTGTAGGGATTGCAGGTGTACCTCCTCGGGCCTGCGTACCCTTTCCTTAATAATAGTGTGTGTGTTCTTTAGATCTTCTGATGGCTCTAGCATTTTTCTGACCACGGAACGAGTCTTTGCTAGATTTTGGGATTAGCAACTGCACGAGTTCAATGTGAAGAAAACAACAACAACCTTGTCGACTTCACCTAGCGGCGAGCACTGCCGTTCGCGCATACTTCGCCGATCGGCACAAACGTAGGCTCTTACGATTGGTGAAAGTCATGGCAACACGAACAAAAACTAAAAACGAGTCTACGCGGAATTGCCGATGATACTGCTGCTGTATACTACAGCGTAGAGGAGGAATCGAAGTGCAGCTGACCCCCCAAAATACTGTTACACTAGTCTATAGACTACACGTAGGATGAATGTCACTATCGTATGTACAAATTTGCAATATGGTAAGCATTGCCAAGAAGCTCATTACACGTTGGGGGGCATAAAAGTGCACACCTACTGCAACTAGTTGCAGAGGGGTCATCACAGCAGCAGCACGGACTGTGTGTGTTTACTGAAGTGCCACAGCAGACGCACACTAACAACAAACGTAAAAGACGCCAGCAGCATCATCAGCGTCGCGTAGAAATTTCCGTGTCTTGCTGTTCGTGTTTCAAATTCGCAAAACACCGCGCTTAGCTGTTGGTCCATGTTGCACTGAGTGCTCTTAGAACACGTATCACGTCTAGAGTTATCGATAGCTACAGCGACCTCACCTATTGTTAGTCTCGGCTGTTGTCCCTGCCGTGGTGGAGAGTAGCACCCTCTTTGCCGTGTGATGGCACTGAGAGGGGGACAAAACATTCTTCCGATGGACACGCCTACCCTCCTTTCCTGCTTCACTGATTCACGACTCCCCCGAGGTATCCCGCCGCATTTGGGCCAACGCGTTGTTGATACAGACTGCTTGCTCGCTGCGATAACACCGGGAAAGCACGCATCTGGGAGCACGCGTTAGAAGAAAAGGTACGTGAAGAAAGTATACTGTGTGTGGTGCTATTTCCTAGCCTAAGTACAGCGGATGCTTGTGTTCGGTAGTCATGCTGAGTTTGAAAATTTGAAATTTTCACTCCTTGCCAGTCAGTCGACGCCTGTGTTGTGGAGTGTTCGTAAGATGTTGATCATCTGTCATGTACAACAGCAGGAACAGCGGTTGAGGGGTGGAGACACCCCCAGAACCTTTAGGAATATTTGAATATTTGAAATTTTGCGTTGTTCTTCTATCGATATATTAAAGATGGCTATTTGAAACCTCTTCGAGAGTCGCCTGGACGTTTGAGCCTGAACCCTCGAGATGTACAGTAGTGGGCCCTATATAGTGCAGGAGTCTGTCGTGAGAATTTACCTGCACTATAGAAGGCACCTGCACTACTGAAAAGGGTGCCCTCGATAGTGCAGGTTCTGCACTATTGAGGCAGATACCCGATATAGTGCAGGTAAAATCTCTGAGCACAGACGGCGCCCTCAATGGTGCAGGATCTGCACTATTGAGGCAGATACCCGATATAGTGCAGGTAAAATCTCTGAGCACAGACGGCGCCCTCAATGGTGCAGGATCTGCACTATTGAGGCAGATACCCGATATAGTGCAGGTAAAATCTCTGAGCACAGACGGCGCCCTCAATGGTGCAGGATCTGCACTATTGAGGCAGATACCCGATATAGTGCAGGTAAAATCTCTGAGCACAGACGGCGCCCTCAATGGTGCAGGATCTGCACTATTGAGGCAGATACCCGATATAGTGCAGGTAAAATCTCTGAGCACAGACGGCGCCCTCAATGGTGCAGGATCTGCACTATTGAGGCAGATACCCGATATAGTGCAGGTAAAATCTCTGAGCACAGACGGCGCCCTCAATGGTGCAGGATCTGCACTATTGAGGCAGATACCCGATATAGTGCAGGTAAAATCTCTGAGCACAGACGGCGCCCTCAATGGTGCAGGATCTGCACTATTGAGGCAGATACCCGATATAGTGCAGGTAAAATCTCTGAGCACAGACGGCGCCCTCAATGGTGCAGGATCTGCACTATTGAGGCAGATACCCGATATAGTGCAGGTAAAATCTCTGAGCACAGACGGCGCCCTCAATGGTGCAGGATCTGCACTATTGAGGCAGATACCCGATATAGTGCAGGTAAAATCTCTGAGCACAGACGGCGCCCTCAATGGTGCAGGATCTGCACTATTGAGGCAGATACCCGATATAGTGCAGGTAAAATCTCTGAGCACAGACGGCGCCCTCAATGGTGCAGGATCTGCACTATTGAGGCAGATACCCGATATAGTGCAGGTAAAATCTCTGAGCACAGACGGCGCCCTCAATGGTGCAGGATCTGCACTATTGAGGCAGATACCCGATATAGTGCAGGTAAAATCTCTGAGCACAGACGGCGCCCTCAATGGTGCAGGATCTGCACTATTGAGGCAGATACCCGATATAGTGCAGGTAAAATCTCTGAGCACAGACGGCGCCCTCAATGGTGCAGGATCTGCACTATTGAGGCAGATACCCGATATAGTGCAGGTAAAATCTCTGAGCACAGACGGCGCCCTCAATGGTGCAGGATCTGCACTATTGAGGCAGATACCCGATATAGTGCAGGTAAAATCTCTGAGCACAGACGGCGCCCTCAATGGTGCAGGATCTGCACTATTGAGGCAGATACCCGATATAGTGCAGGTAAAATCTCTGAGCACAGACGGCGCCCTCAATGGTGCAGGATCTGCACTATTGAGGCAGATACCCGATATAGTGCAGGTAAAATCTCTGAGCACAGACGGCGCCCTCAATGGTGCAGGATCTGCACTATTGAGGCAGATACCCGATATAGTGCAGGTAAAATCTCTGAGCACAGACGGCGCCCTCAATGGTGCAGGATCTGCACTATTGAGGCAGATACCCGATATAGTGCAGGTAAAATCTCTGAGCACAGACGGCGCCCTCAATGGTGCAGGATCTGCACTATTGAGGCAGATACCCGATATAGTGCAGGTAAAATCTCTGAGCACAGACGGCGCCCTCAATGGTGCAGGATCTGCACTATTGAGGCAGATACCCGATATAGTGCAGGTTGGGCACCGCGGTGCCCAACCTGCACTATATCGGGTATCTGCCTCAATAGTGCAGATCCTGCACCATTGAGGGCGCCGTCTGTGCTCAGAGATTTTACCTGCACTATATCGGGCGGTTGCACTATTCAAAGTGCACTATAGGGGGCCCACTACTGTACATGCAACAGCAAGTTCCCTCATTACAGTGAACTGCTGTACTAATTACGATATGTGGTCATCAGCAGTCGTCCACTGCTGTAGTGTAGACTACGGCAGCAGTAGTACGACCGCACTGCTGTGTGTGTATTTCATCCCATCCGTGCTGGGCGCTGTTGTACACACGTTTCGGCACATTGTTTGGCATACCAGCCGGGATCACTTAGGAGGAAGTGAAGGTAAACACAGGAGGAGTTATTAGAAATTCGGCTTGTACCAGGCTTATTCAGCAGTAGTACGAAGTAAACACGTGCTGCTGTAGACATGTACTGTAGCACTTCGATCAGCCCTCACCTCAGCAAATAAGCCATGCCACAATAGTGTTATGTGGTCTATCGCTTCACCGCCGTCTACTGCGTACGGACGACTTGAGATAGATGCACCTCCTCGGTGATGACATTTTACACCTGATGCCCTGGCGTGGTTTTCTACTGTCGGGGGGGGCACATGTCTCACAGCAGTATGTGATAGTGCCGTCTCCCATACAGTAGTGGCATGTGGGCTCGTTGCAACACAACTTTGCCATGAGTCCCCCCCACCTCCTTGTCACAGGAAATCTGGAGACATTTTACGCGGCATGTTTTCCCGATGCAGTAGTAGAGGTCCTTATATAGTTCCGGTTCAATATTGCCAGTGCCCGGTATGGTGACGGTGTTTTCGGCGGTCACGCACTGAATTCCCACGTCGTTTTCAATACGTTGAATAGTGCCGGTCCAGTATAGTGCCGGTGAATTTTCTGGGCACATACCGGCACTAAACAGTAGGGACATCTACCGTGCGGGTGAGTGGCATTGAAACAGTGATACAATAAAGAAAGACAGGTCCTGCGTGGCCTTCCTCGTGTGTGACCCCCTGGCTGAACCGTCCAGCATTGAATTTTCTACGGAAAGGTTTTTGCATGGGTTACCACCAACGCGGCTTCTGAGTTAACTTTGCTTCGGAAGCTTCGCTTCTCTTCGGGGAGATAGTTGATATGGTGTACTGTAGACCGACTAGGTTGGTCTTGTTGGGGTAGGAGAATTATTTTCCTCCGAAAGGAACGCGTAGGAACCAGGCCGCAGCGCATAAGCAAGCACAGACAGCTATTGGTGCCCCTTAGGCTACAAGCTTCAACTATGCTGGAAATGGAAGTGTCTTCCGTCGGTGAGTTTGCTTCTTCTGCTACATAGAACGAACCAACACCATCCTATCTTTCGTGGCGTGTTCAGGGCGATTTTCGTGAAGCAATTTTATTCGCTTCCTCCACCTCTAGCTTCTCCGAGCCTAGCGTTTGCTGCGTTTACTGGGGCTCCTTTGCGGCAAGTGCTGCCGTATCATCCGCAGACCATGTAGACTTTCGAGCTCTTGGTGGCCAAAAATATCCGTGGTAAAACAGTGTTACCCGCGGCCTCATCCGGGGGCCGTTTCTTTTTCAGGGCGCGAGAAAAAACGCATTCCTTCCGAAGATTGCTAAGGAGAAAGAAAGATATAACAACGACTTTTCGGCTAGCCCTCCCTTCTCTCTTTGTCCACGTCTATCGACGCTGATATCAACCACTCACTCACGCATTTCCCCCCCCAGAGCGCGGCACGCGCCGCCCTCGAGCGAGAATGGACAAGTACCTGGATTCGGGGCCGTCGTCATCTACCGTGGGCCAGGACAGGGTACCTATCAGGCGGTCCGCCGCGAGCACCAAGAGCCGCCTGAACACCCTGCTAACGAAACCGAAGGCCAAGCCCGCGGAAGGTTTCGACGTGTCCGTGATCGGCGACCTATCGGTCGGAGAAGGGGCTGCTGCTGCTGCTGCTGCTGCACCGGCCGCGAAAAGAGCGAGACGCTCTTCCCGCGGTAGCGGGGATGGAGGAGCAGGCGCTGCTGCTGTTGGCTCTCGAGCGGAGTGCTTGGACGTGACCGCGTCGCCGCAGAGGGGCGCGGCCCGCTCCGCAGCATCCGGAAGCTCCAACGGCGGGTCGTCGTCAGGAGGCATTTGTGATGACTTCGGCGCTCGTTTCAGCGGAAGGAAGAATAACAACAGAGGCAGTAATAGAGGTGGGTCGAGCACTGTGGGGGGCAGGGCGAACAGCTACAGCAGCCGGTGGCCCACGACGTCTACTGGCGGCAGTGGCAGTAGCGGCGGTGGTGCGCGTAGCAGTAGTCGCAGCAAGATGGGTCCATGGGCGCGAAGGCCGGGGGAGGTAGCTCTGTGCGCCGAGGAGGGCTACGACCCGTTGGAGCTCATGGACGACGCGAACCGAGAGATTTTCGGGAACAACGGCTTTCGAGGGGTCCAGGAACGAGTGAGCGGTTGGTGTTCTCGGTGGCGACAATGATCTACGGGGCCCCGAACCGTGTCTTGGTGTAGTTAGTATGACGGGGTTTGTGCCTCGCTCTCTCTGTCGTAGTGGTGTTTGTGACACTCCTGCGGGTTTAAGGTCAGCTAAACGTATCTGGTTATTTTAGCGGTGATCGATAGCTTGGGCTGCCATGTCATCTTGTCGTGCTTGTTGTCGTTGTGTCGTCAATAACGGTGGTGTTGTGACCTCTGGTAGTAGTGCCTCCGTGTCCGTACTCTTCAAGACCAAGAAACGAATTGACGTGGTCATAACACGAACCAGAACAAATCTGAATAGTACCCATCACATCTACGTATGACGTTGGGCACACATGTGCTCTGATGTCATGTGCTTTTATAGCTGCTGGGGCTCGCACGTTCTTGGTTAGAGGGTCGAGGGGTTCTCACCAGTCGTAGCTTTACATACGTCACCGGCATGCCTTATCGCCCCCGCCCTCGTTGAAACAAAATATGTTTGCCCTACACTAAGTGAAACACGCTTCAGCGAAATCGCCAAGAGTATCATGACTGGGAATGACGTGGTGTTCATCGCCACGAACAGTTACACTTGGTTCCAGGCCTGTCGAAGCACTACGTGCTTTCCCCCGTTGGTGCCCCGCACTCAAGATGACCTCTCCCGCGTACCGTGCGTTTGTTTCATCGCAGGTGATTCGGGCGACTCTCTGCGGTCGCGACTGCTTTGTCCTCATGCCCACAGGGGGTGGGAAGTCTCTCTGTTACCAGCTGCCGGCATGCCTCAGCAAGGGCGTCACGTTTGTCATGTCCCCGCTGCTCTCTCTCATCGAGGACCAGGTCACCCAGCTGCTCAAGGTACGTTGTGGTTGGTTGTGGTTGGTGTTCATGTTGCTATCGGTGTGGCTGTTTTTCGGGAAGTGCTCAGAACAAGGAGGCATTGAATTATTATGTACGTCGTGTCCTTTTTCTGCAAATGTAATTAACTTGAGCAGTCCAGACATTCTCCAGAGTATTGAAGAAATCGATGGAGTGGGTGTGCTGACCAGCTTTTTTTCCCATGTGAACAAAACCCGGCCGATAGCCAACCACGTCTGTGACTATTACATTAGAAGAGCTCGCTCTCATGAGTCAAAGCATCGTTGTATTTCTTTTCTTCCACCGATGATATTGTAGGTGCTGTCAAAGCACGTTCTGCTCATCTCGTTTGTGTCCACTTCCCGCCTTCCGGTAAGGTACGCCTCTTTGGTGCCCTTCTCAATCATGTCCTATCCATCACGTCGTTGCTCATGACGTACTCTATACCACATGTGACGTTGTGGTGATCTGCACGTAGCCCTTACCCATGATAATGTTGCTCTATTCGACAACACTACATATGCCGTTGCCTACCGACCCGTGAGTACCCCCCCCCCCCCCCCCCCCCCCCCCCCCCCCCCCCCCCCCCCCCCCCCCCCCCCCCCCNATATGCAGACATGAAGTAGTACATTGTCTCGGTTCTGAGGTGAACCGTCCTCTTCCATTCACCCTCGTGTGAAAACATCGTCTTTCTTCTTTTGTCCTCACACACAACACACTAGTGCCGAGTTCATTGTTCGTTGTCTCTCTCTGGAACAGATAGAACTCGTCGGCAGCAACGGGGTGAATCAGGGGTGAATCAGTACAATATGGAGGTAGAGTGTTTCACTTTTGGTAAATGGCAGCAGCAGCAGCAACAACAACAACAACAACAACAACAACAACAACAACAACAACAACAACAACAACAACGCATGTTTTTTCCACGCGCTTTCGACAGGCTCCGTGCGGAGGCATCCCGGCCGCCCACTTGACGAGCGCCACCCCTACAACTGCGATCAAGCAGATCTATAAGGATCTCGGCAGGGCGGACAGGGACCGTGAGCCGAGCGTCAAACTGCTGTACGTGACTCCGGAGCGGCTGGGCAACTCGAACTCCATGCTTGACTTCATGCACCGCCTGAACGACAAGGTGTGCTCTCAAGCATTGCTAAGGCTCGTTTACGTGCTTGTTTAAAAGAGGCGGACCGCTCAGAGCCGTATCGGTGTATCGAGCAACGAAACTGGACGTGTACGTACGTACAGCAAGTTTCACCACCAAAAAAAGGAGATGGGCGTGTGTGACTCGCGGTAGGTCCAGTGTGGTTGAAGTTTCAGCGTGAATGTTACAATGTCGTCGGACAGGTACTCGCGGTAGGTCCAGTGTGGTTGAAGTTTCAGCGTGAATGTTACAACGTCGTCGGACAGGTACTCGCGGTAGGTCCAGTGTTGTTCAAGTTTGAAGTTTCAGCGTGAATGTTACAACGTCGTCGGACAGGTACTCGCGGTAGGTCCAGTGTTGTTCAAGTTTGAAGTTTCAGCGTGAATGTTACAACGTCGTCGGACAGGTACTCGCGGTAGGTCCAGTGTTGTTGAAGTTTGAAGTTTCAGCGTGAATGTTACAACGTCGTCGGACAGGTACTCGCGGTAGGTCCAGTGTTGTTGAAGTTTGAAGTTTCAGCGTGAATGTTACAACGTCGTCGGACAGGTACTCGCGGTAGGTCCAGTGTTGTTCAAGTTTCAGCGTGAATGCTACAATGTCGCCGGACCGGTGGCGTGTTTCGTACTCCCTCCACCACCAACGACAGCGACACAGGCAACCATCACCACCACCGTCACCGGGAAGACTACCAAATCACCATGGCCACCTCAATCGCGCACGCCATGTGCTGAATCTCTCCAGGGTATGCTAGCTCGCTTCGTGATCGACGAGGCTCATTGCGTGTCCTCTTGGGGGCATGACTTCAGGCCCGACTACTCCAAGCTTGGCTACTTCAAGAAAACCTTCCCGAACGTGCCCATCATCGCTCTCACCGCCACCGCGACCAAGACGGTAAGACCCTTATTTTGCAATAAGCCTAACATTATGCAAACGGCCTTTCGGCACTGGCCCTGTCACGACAGCGACAGCGGTAACCACCAGCCGTAGCGCTGCCAGCACCATGGGGTAGGCGGTAGATCGGCAAGGACGCGGGTTCTGAATCATTTCTTGAAGATAAAAAGGTATGTTCCGAGATTTACTCTAGCCATCGATGTGATATTTGCCGCCACCGACACGAAATACCCCTGACCGTACAACCTTTAAACGACAATTCGGTGTAACCTTGTCGAGGAACGTTTATTCCAAAAATTAGCGGTATGCACAACCCTGGGTGCTCTCCCACAAAAACTCACCATCATATCGACCAACTGCTCTGTCGGCAGCCGCTGGAATAGCTCAAGATAGCTACATAGAACCGGTTCATGGACAGCATTTTTTTTGGCGGTACAGTTGTTTGGGGTGTCGGCACGTGTTCTTCATTATCATGCTGGCGAACTCCTGTCGATAGCCTTTCTGCGCAGAGGATTGACTGAAGTTCGTTGTATTATCGAGTGAGAGACATGGGGAAGGCAAGCAGAGCCCAGCGCGTCAAGTCCATTACACCCATCACGTCCATCTGCGTAACCCTCGGAGATCTCGGAGATCCGTATCCTGCCGAATGCACATACATTCATACCCTTCCGGTGGAGGTGTGGTATTTTTCACAAGTACAGCACGAGTAGGCTGCGTCAGCGATTGATGGCCATGCTTGTTCGTTCTTTTCAAGGTGATGGAGGACGTCATCAAGAGCTTGCGGCTGGTCAACCCGACCAAGTTCATTCAGAGTTTCAACCGCACCAACCTTGTGTTCCGTGTGGAGGAGAAGCCCGACAAGATCAACGACGCGATGGAATACGTCGCCGACTTCATCAAGAAGCAGAACAGCATGAACGGCGGACGGTGCGCAATGGTGTGCCCGCTGTCGGTGATTGCCTCCCGCATAAGTAAAACCCTAGCCTATGCTCGCCAACCAGGCACACGTACGCGTGTACCAGTAGAAGGTCGTGTGGGTATGCACTACGCTCCGTCGACAGCAAGGGCTGCACATTCTAACGAACCAATCACCAGTTGCCGCATGGCCGGCTTAGTGCATGGTGCATCGACAGCGCAGACTAGTCACCGACATACATGTCTGATATCATAGATATTCAGCGAGTCGTGCGCTCTCTCATCGATACCGCATCCATACATTTATATTTTACTTTCCTCGATATCTTTACCAACAGTAGTACCGGGTTCACTACCAAGCGACGTTGCGGTTTGGAAAGTTATGGGCAACCTCTTTTTACCGTTTTCCAACGTGTGCACACCTTGTGCTGTTGTAGTAGTATCACCCAACCTGTGAAAGGCGGTGGTCCTTTTGATGCTCTACCCCTCCCTTTGCCCTGCCGCCCGCCTCTCTCTCGCTCTCTCATGTCTGTTTTGGTGTCTGAAGGGAAGTGTGCGGGATTGTCTACTGCATGACCCAAAAGGTGGGTGTCAGAGTCGTAGCTTTTCTACACAGCACTTATGCCACGAATGTTGACGACGGCGCGACAAACAGCGGGAGAGGCTTCTCGGTACTAGCATGCCGCTGCCGGGTCACCGATTGGCCCAGCAGATGATATGCATCCCGAAGGATTTTGAGGGGGCTGCCGTTGCTTTTATTGACGTGGCGCTTGTTGCGTTATAGCTCACCAAAAATGATCGATCTTGACGAATCTAACAACATGGTTATCGCACGTCAGGCGTGTCTATGAGCACAACGACAAGGGCAGGCGTGTTTAAGCGATCTTCGCTGCTGCTGGTTTTGGGGTATGTTTCCGTAGAGGGTGTACGAACAGAGATCGACGGTGACGTTTCCGCCAATCTGGCGACCAAGTATCGAGGACAGCCGTGGAGGCCGCATGTCATGAACGGTGGACATCGCCACTTGCCACCCCACGAGAGACAACAATGTTATGGCTCTGGACAAGTTTGGGCCTACGAAGAGAGGGCCGGCGTCCGAAGATATTACTTTTACTCCCCACGTCGTTCTCTAAGACGGACACGCTGTTTTCCACCCCACTCTCGTTCGCCTGCCCCCCCTTTCGTCCTCATCTAGGAAACCTCATCTCTTTTCAGAGGACGGTTCAGCATGCCTCTCACAAGACTCGCACGGTCCTCTCTCTCCCGAATGTTTTGTGTGTGCCTTTTGCCGCACCCTCTCGTCCAGGAAACTTCGGCGTTGAGCGACTTTCTCCGGAAGAAGAAGATCTCCGCGGACTACTACCACGCGGGTCAAGGGGCTGCTGAGAGGAAGAGCGTGCAGGGAGCGTGGCAACGGGGAGAAGTCAGCGTCGTCTGCGCCACGATCGCCTACGGAATGGGCATCGACAAGCCGGACGTCAGGTGAGCCAGAAAGGTAGAGAAAGAGGAGTGCACGTGCTGCAGCGCCCCATGTCTGGAAGACGTTGGTTTTTGACATCTTCTGTAGACACTCGGCGTGTGCGTGTGTGCGAGCCATATCTGTTGTGAGTGCCATTCTCAATCTGCCTGGTCGTGAGTGTTGGTGCACCGTCTGAGCTCCACGTGTATATATTTTTTGTACCGCTCTCCAGACACGGTATGCCCTTTCTGTTGTAGCCCTTCTGCCGCCATTGTATTCGTTGTTTTGGTGTCGGTCACCTCTTGTACGGTGTGGGTCGCGCCTCTGTGCCGTCACCGGTATGTGTACCTCCTCGGACAGCGCTTGCGGTACTGTAGTCGATCGAAGACATGGTTGGATCACCCCAGTCTACTAGGTTCCTTTGTTTTTGTTTTCCTTGAAATGAACGACGCATGTTACTACGCTTCTACTCTTTCTAGATCCCCCTTTGAGGCAGAATTAGAGCGTCAGAGCGCCAGGAATGCGACACGTTTCCTGACTTGACATCATGAGCCCAGATCCCTCAACATGCACGCACACGCGCACGTCGTGTATCCTTCCCTCCGCGTGCTTGCTGAACCCTGAACCTAAACGTTTTTTACCCCTCTGGCATCAATCGCGAGAACACATGACCTTTGCTTACTCCTGGCATTAACCCTACAAACAGATACGTGGTACACATGTCGATCGCCAAGAGCGTCGAGGGCTACTACCAAGAGGCGGGAAGGGCTGGGAGGGATGGGCAAAGGGCGGAATGCCTCATGCTATTCCGCGGGTACGTGTTGTGTGTACCATGAGGCTTGACTTTTTCTGTGCCGTGTAGTGGATCGACCCTCCTTGCTGTGCTGTCCCCACGCAACCAACCCTGGTGGTTGAGGGATGGACGGCTTTTGTTTCGCTCGAGTCTGGAGTCGTTTCAATTGAGTCAACCGCAGCATGGCCGGACGGGGTGCAGCCACAGGATATGCGGAGAATCTTCAACTTTTTCAAGTTTCCGTGACGTGTTATTTTGTTCGCTTTGGAGTGTCGTGCGTGTGACGGTGTACTCACACACCCTTGGCAGCTTTTCAGGGCTGGCTGTCGTGATTATCGACCGGTTATCAATGCTGGACTTGTCAACTAAGAGCGATTCTCGATGTTGGATGTCTTACGAATGGGGTGATTCTCAAGGCTGGTTGTCTTGAATGCGATACTGAGGAGTTCGTTCTAGAATTGCATCATTTGGAAGCATCTCGTTGAGCGGTGCCGGTGACGTATGTTTGCCTCGCCAAGAGCGGTATTTCCACTCCCGTGGCGACCGGGTCACAGAGCTCGACAAAATCGCCCCTGGGGCGTGGCTTGTGGCTGCTGTTGTTGTCGTAGTCGTCGTTGTTCATGTTCGTTCTTAATACGTGGTATAATACTCTGTACGCCCGTGTGCACGCAGGCCGGACGTGAGCAAGATGAAGAACCTGGTGATGGGCTTCGGTAAGCGACGGGCGAGAAGAACGAGCGCCGCCACGACTCGGCAGCTGGACATGCTCGAGAGGATGAAGGACTACTGCCTGGAGGAAGGCGTCTGCCGGAGGTACGCACACTCTCAGGAGACCTGTCGTTGCATTTCCACTCACGACAGCAGTTTTCTCGTTTGTTCTCTTCTTGTCTACTTCGTGATGGTGTTGAGCCTTCTTTCTTTTCGCGAGTATTTTGAATCCGAGAGGTCGACCTTGTCGTCCAATTTCCTCCGTGGCTGTCTTGAACCCCTCCTTTGTCCCGCCTAAAGACTGCACTTGTGAACGGGGAAGCAACGCTATGCGTAATACCTGTTTATTGTCGCATGCAATCGCCCACACCCCATACTTTTCTTCAGATTAACGAGTTGGGTGCCCATGACCGACAACCAGTAGAATCTCATGTCCTTGTTTTCTTCAATCGAGGCAGCCAACTGCTGCTTCCAGTACACAGGGTTCAGCTTTGGAGTTCTGACCGGGTGAAATTTTTTCTTGTGTCGTCGTGCTGCCGAACTATGTATTGAGCTCGCTTAGAAATGAACGGGGCATCAGCTTCTTAGCTTCCCAAGTCGTCAAGCGCAGGGGCGGGCGAGTGACATGTACCTCGACGCATATGATCAACATTTAAGCTATCGCCGCCCGTCCGTCTGAACCTTATTTTGTTCCCTGGGCGGAATATCGTTTGGCCGTCCCTGACCGTGACAGAAAATTCTTGGCGAGGTACTTCGGCGAGGAGTACAAGGCATCCATGTGCAACGGGATGTGCGACCACTGCGCTAAGCGGGCGCCTTCGGCGTACCGCCGTACATCAGACTGAGCGTGATCCCGACTGTTGCGGGTGCCCCCCCCCTTACCTTGGTTGCGTTATCCTTGTTGATGCAACGCGCGTGCGACCTTTGTTGTGTCCACCTGGTACCACCAAATTCGTTTTGCGTCACTCGGGTTTTGTGGTCGTTTTGTTTGAATGGGGCAGTGTTACCGGGTAGATGTATAAAGTCAACTACGCGAAAATGCCAATGAGGAAGGGTAGGGACAACAACTACTGTAGTGCGCCATGTTGGAGATTTTGTCGATCGTCAACATTGGTTTGTGGAAGGTTAGCCACTCAGTTCCCTTATCCCTGGTAAGGACGGGCGTTTTTGCCCTTGAGTTGGTCAAAGATCGTCTGTGTGTTGTTGTCCAGGTCATACGTTGGCTACGGTATCACGAGAGGAGTAGGTCGCTTTAGGGGGAAATGAGGTTGTCTAGCGGAAGTGATTCGTGAGACGGCTGACTGGAGCAACACGCCTAGGCTGGAAATTCGTCTGGGAAACTGGGACTGAGAGAGAGAGAGGCGCAGCCAACCTTCGCGATCGCTCTTGGCAGAGTCTCGGGCGTTGGCAAGTGCTGTCACATGTCTCAAGCGGAGAATGTCGAGAACACCAGAACAGATAACATGAACTCTGTGAGCAGTCTACACGAAACAAGGGTTAACATGCGGTGGGGGAACCTTGGCGCAATCACCATTAATGTCTGCAATGTAAACGCGACGAGCTAAGAGCGAGATACGGCAACGACCGGGTTAATCAGGTAGTTATCTTGGTTTTCGTCAAGTACAAGTTCGTTTTCCGAGCGAGGAATGCAATGCCGTCTGTCGCTCCTTGGCGGCAGCAAGCGCGCTGCCAGTCTCCCTTCTCCTTGCGGAGTATTTCACACAAGTGGTGTCAAGGAGGGAACTCTACTCTCGGCACTCGATCCCCCGCCAACAAGCAATGGCCAACACTAACTGCACGCAACTTCCTTCAAATTTGTACAGTGGTCGACCATGCGGACTTCTTCGACCTTGATATGTGCAGCGAAAAAACAGAAATAACCCAAAAGCCGACAACGCCCCAAGCGACACCGGAAGGACGCAGGGACCTTCCACCTACGTCAGCATATCAGTATATCACTATGCACCAAGACACGTCCACCTTCGACTACCAAGCGGGGCTTTGGATCCGAACAACAGCATTGGGTGGTGCCCTTCGGGGTGAAACTAACGCACCACTCTACCCCAGTTCTAGAGCAGCCCGACATGTTCGTTGTCAAGTGGCGGGCACCTTGTCCCCCAGCTGAAGCTTTCGGGCATGTACACATACATTGTAACCGGTCGCCCCGGTGGTCTAGTGGGTAGCCTCGCAGCCTGCTAAGGGCCAGGTCATGGGTTCGAGTCCCGGCAGAGAGATTTTTTTTCTCACTAAAAAAAACCTGGTCTAGGATGAAAGCGACACGCTGCAAAGCTCGTTTGTTAGTAAACCATAATCGACTTCGTAAGTCGCGAGGGAAGGGATTGCTGTACCCTTCTCGCGATAAAAATACCTCAGGCATGAACCGCAGGAGGGGGTCCAACCCCCCCCTCCTATGTGACCCCGGTTGGGTCGTCTAGCTAGTAGAAGTGGAGGATAGGGGCCAGAGGGGCAGACGACAGAGTCCAATGATGGGAGAAAAACAAACAAAAAAAAAAAATGAATATCCATCGACAAGAGTAGCCCTCTAGAGCCGGACTTGACGGAACGCATTGATTGGCACCCAAGCAACCAGCTGACTTGTTGATCTCTTTATCAGCCGTCAGCTCTCGAGGGCTGTTACCTCGTGGTTGCTCTAAAAGTTCTCACGCAGAAATTTAGCTGATCCAGAACTTGAAGCCAAACCAACTGAACTTCCAAAGAAGTGTTGCACAACTCATTACGCTCCGTTGAGTACCCCACACCGAGACTTCCGTGCGCGCTGTGGTTTTTTCGTTTATATATGGAGGAAACAAGCCGCGATCCTCGCGCTATCGTTACCTTGACGAAGAGGTACCTGTGCTTCTCGGGGGCTACACAGAGCGAGGAATACGCATGAAAGAGGTCTGCGTAGCTGTGACGAACCGATTAGCTTATCAGATGCGGCACGTATAGAAACACATCCTGCAGCTGAGCCCCTCGAGACCCAAAAGTCACCCCCTCAGCCCTCAGGAGAGCCGAATCGTCGGTCAGCAGTGCCCCCTGGGTGCGTAACGCCAACTGTCCCGGGGTGAACAACTCCAGGTCGCGACACCTGCGAGGGGGAGTAGGAGGTGAAGTGGAACGACAGGGCGCGCTTCAGGAACGATGCTTGCGTCGCGAATCCTCCCTTGCAAGCAAACGCATCCATCTGCATTGAAACTAAAGAAGAGAAAAAAAAATTACACAAGCAACAACCGCCAAACAGAATAACGCATGTAAGCAAACTACGCAAAACCAAACAAGGCATACAAACGACCACCGCACATGGTACATCTGCTAAGCAACGAGGCACACAAGCAAGCGAAACAAGCAGAACCAGCAAGTACTATAGTAACAGATGACCCTTCTCACTTGACAAGCGCTTCCTTCAGATCGCCGACGGTGGTACAGGCCGGGTCCATGTCTTGGATGCGGTGAACAACCTACGCGACAACCGAGAACGGGCATAGGGAGACACAAGGACAGATTTAGAGGCAGGCAGACATGACTACATGTGGGGTGCAGGCATATCCTTTTACACAAAGGAGCGTGTTTTCATTGAATCAACCCACTGTATGGACACAATTTTCTTGTTCTAGCGGAGACACTTTACGCTAGAAAAATGTCGAAAACGATAGTCAAATGTGCTCGATGATACGGCTGAGATCGGTCCTTCACGGCGTTCGCATGCAAAACGGCAGCCAACAAACATACAAACCCTGGTGGATCGAGCGAAAAACTAGACAGTTTACGCAGCAAAAGTTCGAGAGACAACAAGCGACCTTGCCGTCGAACGCGCTCGGGTGCGATGGCACCTGTAACAGAATCCCATCCATCCACAAATGATCACTTTGTCTGCCACTCGTTTCTTACCCTATTAGAATCTACAATGCGCCAACGAGCTCATGTTCTGAGCTTGCCGCGCGGAACACACGTTTCACAGTTGACTCTGGTCTTCCTTCACGTGTGGCTGCGGGAGAGTCGCGATTGCACATCAAAGGTACACTATCCTTTTCCGTGCTCACTCTAATCGTACCGGTTGCCTTTTCGGTGTAACTACTTCAACGTAGTGTCCGGGGCACCACAAAGAAAACAGCCAATAGATAGCTAGCTCGGGCCAAGGGAGGTACAGTAGAGTAAAGCGCCGAGGGGTACTGTACTGTGTTGTCTCCCAGACATGGTGACATGGTGCTCGCGGTCATTTTTGCGCACCTGGGCGTCATAGGTCTCGACGATGATGTCCCAGTCGTTCGGATGTGGTCTCGCCCGCCACGTTCGCTTCGTCGCCAAAAGCGGTCTGGTTTGACCAAGGAAAAACACAGCACAAATACGCCACGATTGTCAAAGCAAGAAGGCAGAAACGTAGGTTTGCGCTCTTCCGACGTAAACAAACAAATATAGTGACACATGCGCTGATTCACGACACCACGCGACACATGCATTGCGGCACACCAAAGACCCGCCGCTGCAATTGAGCAAGGTATGTAGGTCCATAGATTCAACGTTGACCGCTATTGCAGGGTTTCGGAAAAGCGAATTGCTGACCATGACTGTACAAACCACGCCCAAGCACGTTTCAGAATCGATTAATACAGCTGAAGATAACTACGTCGAAGTTTTTCGTTAAAATCTTTCTCACCTGACAGGAGCCGGGAACGACGCGCTTCCTCCTTCGGCACACCTCAGAAACTTCACCTCCTCGTGCGCGACGCTCGGGAGGACAACGAGAGGATATAGCCCGAGCCCTGAGGGGGCCCGCACGTTCCTGAAGGCCGTACCCATGCACACGCCTCAACGAACGTCACGTACCCCCCGCCGGAAAAATACACAAAACAAAAAACAAGTGGTGCTATTGAGGAACGTAAAACCGTGGATGTTAAGACATGGTCTAGAGGGAAACCCGTCAAAAACACCGTCGAATCCCCTACTAACGGAACATGCCACTGACCGGGGACGTGATACGAAAGCTGAACGACAGCGCGGCAGGGGTGCGTGAGGCGTACGACTTAGACCTTCCCTACCGAGCATGCAGCTTGTTGTGGACGACGTGAGAAGTACGAGAGTGTACAGGTCGTCATCGCTACAAACCATCGTCAAATGCATACCTTTCACGAAAAAAGACAAAGAGTCATCGGCGGTGTTTAGAAGCACACCGAGCACGTCGCCCGCCTTGAGCTTGCAGCCGTAGCCCCTCAGGCGTGTTCCGTGGCAGGCACGGCCGTAGCAATCGATCACCCAACACTACCAGGCAACAACCACATCCGCACCGTAGATGTTTGCAAAAGTCAGAAGAACGTGCCATCGTGTTTATCATTAGCCACACGGTAGGCGGGGGAGGTGGGCGCGAGGGCGGGCGGGAACGCAACCCTCATTCAGTGTATCTGGCGTCGGCCCACAGCGCGACACGAACAGTGTGCTTGCTGCGGAGACAAGGGACACCAGCTGCTGGAGCTGAGAACACCAACCCCTGGGTACGTTGATCAATGTAATGTGATGGTCTCCTGTCCGCCAGGGACGAGCTATCATGCTGCTCTAGCTCTTGGCCAGCGTGTGTCAAAAGCAGCGCGTGTGAGTCCGTGACATGCCCTAATGTTGCCTCGGCTTTCGTTTAGACAGCCGATAGGCCTTGGACGGTACTGACAACGTACGGAGAAACCAGTTTCGTAGATAATTTAGCTTCCGACCAGACGAACGTGCAGGCGCTGTCCAACGCAACCCGCGCAAAGCCGGTCTCATCTATAGCTCAGACAAAAAAAATGTTTTGCACCAAGCGACGAGTTCACACGGGAGGGATTCCTTGCCTCCACAGGAGAGTAACCCCTTGACCTTGAAAACACATCTCACCTCGTCCTTGTCGCACCCTCCTCGGTAGATGCTGCGGCGTGTCGCCACGCCGACCTCAAGCCTTACTCCTGTGAAGACCTGTATCTTGACCTCCCAGTAGCATGTCATCTTGTCTGCCGAGCGTGTGCCGTGAGGGGAACACAAGAGCGCAAGAGCGCGGTTTTTCGATCGAGTTAACTTCCCCTCTGTGGCGGCTATTTTGTTGACGGTCGATCCTGGCATCGTGGGCATTCCCAGATGTGTTTCTTGGGCGTTAGAAAACGCACTATTCCTGTGCCTAGACTTGCCGCGGTACCAACTGCTTGTCCTGTGCATCCGCCCCACTCGATAAAAGATACAATCAAAGAGTACGGAACAAGGCAGCATAAAAGTCGAACCTTGCAAAGCGGTTGTCTTGCTGGAAGATTTCTTCGAAACTGATTCACCGTAGGGGATCAGTACCATGCAAGGCCCGCCAGCTGTCTAAACGGACACCGTTTGGACAAGTAACGATGTGTGATGTGTCTGTCTTCTGTCCTTCTTGTTCCTTAGCCCTTGCTGTGTGTTTTGTCTGTCTGATGGTCTGTCTGTCTGGGCTTACCAACCCTTTCCTTGGCCATGATGGTGCCCATGCCCGGTCGGGGTGTCTTCCGCAGGGCGCCGGTCTCTGTGTCCACTTCGACGGCGTTGTCCTCGTTCCCATGCCGCTCGTCAACGGTGGGCCTGGTTTGATGCGTTGTTGCAGCGTTGTGGAAAATATTTGCAGTAGTATTGCAGCTTGTGTTCTCGGCTGGGGCTGTAGATACAACAGCTGTAGCGGTGGCCATAAGATTTTAGTAGCGGAGCGCTACAGCAACAGGAGCTAGCACGAGGCCGCCAATCTCGAAAATAATGCTTGCGTGATGGTCTGTGACTACGTTGCACCGTTCAAGGTTCTGGGCTATGTACTACTCATCTGGTCGCCCCTGGTAGTCTCACTCTGCTGGCCGAGGCCCTTCTCTCTCTCTCTCTCTCTCTCTCTCTCTCTCTCTCTCTCTCTCTCT